CTCGAGAATTCCGAGAATTGGGGGGGAAAGGGATGCGAGCGACAATGAGAGCGAGAGAGAGGAGACCGTATTCATCCATCGATTTTTCATACCAGCCAAAACGGCTGAAATTCCGCAAAACTCAACTTACCATAACTCGAAAATGGCAGAGTCAAAAATTACGAACCCTGAGACAAAATGTCCGGGAGAGTCTACCGAAGACAACAATACCCAAAAAATTAATTTTCCCTAAATAATTAGCCGGCTCAGATTAATTAATCCCCGAGCGGAATTCTAAACGCAAAAATGCTCGCGTGAAGTGAGAATAGCCACGTGTAAACGTGGATCGGTACCTGAGGGGAGTCGAGAGGGGGGGATTCCCCCTCGAGAAACAGACGGTGTACACGCCAACGAGAATGGGCTGGAAATTCGTAAAAACCAAAAATGGAATATCCGGAAATCAGCAGAGCGAATTTTCGGAAACCCTGAGATGAATTACTCAGGGAAGCCCCCCGAACACATTGATCCACAAACCTTAATTTCAATTAACTATCTACGCGAACCAACTCAATTTGAACACGAGCGGAATTTCTTACGCGCGAAAACTCACGTGTAACGGGAATGGACGCGCTCTAGCAATTCAACGTGAGTAATTATCCCCTCCGGAGGGGTTTTTCTCCGATAGATTCACATAAAAGATCTTTAACCAACGTAATAAGCCGATGCACAGTGTGATCGGAGCCGGGTTTGAGCCGGAACACCCCAAAAAGGGGAGAAATCCCCTCGAATAACCCACCTAAAATCACGAAAACCACCCAATCATGAGTGGAAAGGGGGGGGGGGGTCGACACCTCACAAATTGGATTATGCGTCATAATCACCGTCTTAACGGAATAAAATGCGACGTACGGGGCTGAAGACCCCGTAGTCGAATAACTAAAAGCCGAAATGAATTCGGAAAAATAAATAAACCGAACTAAAACTCACTTTGAGTTTCTTACCCCTCTTTGGGGTGTTCTTCGCTATCGTGTAGATAGTATGATCCAAGTAGCGGCACTATAGTCCCAAGATGGGCACTGTACTGGCACTAGTTCCGGTGAGGTCAAGGGCCAACGCCAAACTGCCGAACTCACGAGCGTCTCGAGACACCTCAGAGCGCGGAATTCACCGCTCAATCACCCGAATTTTGATTGGTGCGGATACGCCCCTCGAAGGTGCGAATCTAACGACAATTAATCGTGACTCTCACGACCTGGCGCGATTATTCAAATCTCACCTAACTCTTTTCTAATCACCTAACACAAAACTAGTTCCTTTTTATTAATTATTAGGCGAAACTAGGCCGAACTTATTGTCGTTCGGATAATTACTAAGGGTCTTTGGCGCTTCCCACGGATCGGATCTCCGGGATTTTCGGGGTTAAAAGACAAGTTACCGGTACTTGTTATTGCTCCACTAATAATTCCTTCTCAACTCGTTTCTCTCATCGAAAATCCTAAGGCAACCTGACAATTCGTTGGAGATGATGGTTGCACTCGCTCCGAACGACCTTCCACCCAAAACAAAAAACGTAACCAATTAACCCCGGAAAATCCAACGAAATTGGAGCACCGGCATTTCAGCCGGACCTAATCGATTACCCGCAAGATTAACAATAGGGTGAACCCCATAAAACGAACCGNGTTCGGATAATTACTAAGGGTCTTTGGCGCTTCCCACGGATCGGATCTCCGGGATTTTCGGGGTTAAAAGACAAGTTACCGGTACTTGTTATTGCTCCACTAATAATTCCTTCTCAACTCGTTTCTCTCATCGAAAATCCTAAGGCAACCTGACAATTCGTTGGAGATGATGGTTGCACTCGCTCCGAACGACCTTCCACCCAAAACAAAAAACGTAACCAATTAACCCCGGAAAATCCAACGAAATTGGAGCACCGGCATTTCAGCCGGACCTAATCGATTACCCGCAAGATTAACAATAGGGTGAACCCCATAAAACAACCGGATGACTCTATAATTTTGGCCCTTCTTCACGATAATTTTTCTGGGCTCTCAAAGACGCGTAATTATTAATCTTTACTAATAAACGGAACCGATAACTCTAACCGGAAATAAGTCACTCGGAAGTGGATAAGGGACTCTCACTCTCTCGCTCTAGGATTCTTACTCACGGATTTTAATTCAACGTTGTAGGAGTCTCGCTGTTTCCAGATCGTTTTTGGTCTTCCTAACGAACATCCCCACATGTTCGTTACACATCATAAATCGCTTTGAAATGGGTCATTAACATGCCTCAGGTAATATTTGGGCATACACTAGCCGACTAAATGACTCCAAATACTGATTCATCAACGTGCCCTTCCGGAAAATTCGGTGAAAAGTTTATGAATGTGAAGCAGTCCCAAATGATTTCGAAATGCTAAAATAACATCATAACATTCCCGAGTGCATGGAATTTATTAGGCAGCATTTGCATTTTTCCCATGCTACCCCAGAATTTTCACTTTGTTCTCCATTTTATCGTTTTTGCTGGTGATTTCCTCAACCTTTCCCACAATTCTCCCTATTCGGAACTACAATCATGATCATGTTTTTCAGAATTTTTCCGCGCAAGATCATCAGAAAACCATTCGGGGTATAGGATTTTTTCTTTGTCGGGATTTTACACCTTGATTATAGGATTAAAGGAGTATTAAAATTATTTTTGTGTTTCTTATAAAATCTGATTGTTTTTCCTCCTTGCATAGAATGAGCAATTAGTTTTTTGAGATCTTCACTGAAAACAGAATATCGAGAAGAGCAAAAAATAAATCAACGAAGAATATATACAGAGGAGGCGGGGTAAAAATTTCGTCAGGTGACACATACTGTTTAACCTGAAGGATACCCACTGCACCGACCCGACATTTGTATACCGGAGAAACGACCGTCATAAAGCCATTGGACTTATCACCAAGCCTAACGTCTCCAAATTGCCAGTAGGCCAGATATTTCCTTCAAACTTTGAATCGTGCGTGCTATCTTAAGCAATATTGTAAAAAATCGGAAAAAAATCACACCGTTTTTACATTTTATGTACTGTTTTATTGTATCTTATTACCATAGTCGTAAAACTGAAATTAGAACTTTTTTTTCGTGAGTCTATCTAAGGGACACGCGGATAAAAATCCTGGATAAGGAATTGCCCCTAAAAATGCCCACTCCGGACCACTAAAACACGACTAAAGGGGTGACCAACCACTGCACGTGGCTGAGGGCCACGAGAGGGATACCGCCATAAAGGGGAGACGACGCCATTCGGAAATGGCTCGAAAGTAGGGGGAAAATCCCAGAAAACTCGTTTTATCTTGACGCTTGGTGGTCCTCTTCCCCGTATGGACTATCTTGGATCCTCACAGCTCCTCGGAGAAAAACGATAATTCTTGTGGGCACAATTACGTTGTGATGGCACCCAAAAAATTCACACGCGACTAGCTGTTTGGGAGGGTCAACGCGGAACTAACTGCCCTGGGTCAGTGTCACGGGCACTAACTGCAGCGCGAATTCCGGCCAACAGAGGCGGGCTCTGATTGGCGGAGATTTTGGCCTATCAAGCGTAGGCTTCGATGGCGCCACCGAATGATTTCGGGGAATTCAAACGCGAAAGATACTCAACTCTAATTATTCTATACATAACTTTATAAAATAGACTGATGATTAATCTGGGCTGAACTGGTGGACGTTCGGAAAATTACCGAGGATTTGTGGCGCCTCCTACGGGTCGGTTCTCCTGGATTCGGGGGGTTAAAAGACCAATACTCCTAACTGAATTCTCCAAATTTTCCAAAATTCTGATGCAACCTGGCAATTCACGGGATATAAGGGTTGCACTTGTCCCATGTGACCTTCCACTGAAAAACTAATACGTAACCAGTTAACCACCGTAAAATCCATTATAATTTGGAGCGCCGGTATTTCAGCCGAACCTAACCCATTTACCGTAAGATTAACAATAGGGTGGTTCCCATAAAGGTTATCGGATGCCTCTAAAATTCGGCCCTTCTTCACGATAACCCTATGGGCTCTCAACAACGCGTAATTTCAGATCTTTATTATTCAAAGACGAAACGAACCCGCAAGATTACTAAATGGAATCGCGAGGCAAACGAGACATAACTCCGCTTAAACGGGAAAACAAGACTCGATTATCCCAGGGATAATCGGAAAAATGATCACACCGGAGTGGGAAACAAAATCCCAATTTCTCTCTTTCTCTCTCTCTACTCACAATCCATTTCTGAATGCCGCCGGAGGTAGATGTTCTCAGGTCCTGGTAGTGTCTCTAACGAACATCCCCACATGTTCGTTACACTCCCCTCCTTTGACGGTTAGTATCTGTGTACGGCTGTTTGTCGGTGACTTGATGACGGTGATGGTATTCTGTCGTCCGGAAGGTGGATATCCTCGTACTCTGCGGACGGTTCTGTTAAAGGAAACCAAAACTGAACCCACACCCTGAGATGTCGGCCGGAGTAAAACTCACAACTCTGTATGAGAAACACTATGCTTTATCTATCAATTGTTATTGTATCATAAAATTTTTAGCCGCTCCAGGAGGTCTCTTCCACTGCGCGTGACGGGGACTTTATCATTGACAAAACAAAACAAAATTATCACTGCTTTCGTGAGCCTTATCACTGGCCGAATAAAACAAAAAAAATGAAAGAGTGTATAAAAAAAAAAAAAAGAAATTGACTGCTGGTCCGACCAAAGAATCACAAAAAAAACTTCAAATCCAAAATTGTATGGAGAATTATTTAGTAGGAAATAAGCTTGAGTAAATCACCGCGATTAGCGGGGACAAAAATAAAAAAAAGAAACTACCGTGTCGAAGGGGGATAAAAAAACGAAAAAAAGAGCCACTGTTTTTCAACGGGGAGAATACCTCGCTGCCCAGGACTTAGATCCGGGGGGAAGATTCTAAGGTACCAGCGGTGATGTCGGTTGACCCTGCGATGTCTGCTGGACCTGACTGAGGAGCTACTGGAGGGCCGCGATTGTCTCCGGTGACCACTGTAGGGCTGATGTCATCGGTGGCACAGGAGCCGAAGACGTTGGTGGCGCTGGAGATGCTGGAGTCGGAGAGGTGTAGTAACCTCGAGTGGCGTCTGCGGACGCACTCCAACAACTGGCAGCCGATCGAGGAGACTCCTCTGGCTGGGAAGGTTCCCAGAAGAACCCGAGGGTAGATCCCTCCGGAGGATTCCTGGTGGGGTCACGGCTGGACCAATACTCTCCGGACGTGATGGTCGCTGGTTTCGGTGCCGTGGATGCTGAGGTGAAGGGAGTTCCGTAGCCTTCAACTCGACGCTCGATGCCCTCAGATGGGGATGAATAATAATCCCAAGAGCGCCCGTGGGATGCCTTCGGGGGTGATGTCGCGCGAGGACTCTCTCGAGGTTCCCCGACCCTGGGGTACTCTCGGCTGGGGCCGCGGCTGCCTGAGCGAGGACGGCGGGGAATAGCACCCATCGATGAAGCTGGGCCGACTGAGCGAGTCTTTGGAGCGGCTTGGGGTCTGAAGTCTTCCGCTGCAGGTGTTGGCTTCAGGGGTGTGCGACCTAAGCCTTTTTCCTCCTTGGGACTTGCCTTGTTGGCCACTAACGCGCTTGAGCCTAGTCCCCTCTTGATGGTCGAGGGTTTGCTGAGTACTGAGTCCTCTGGGACTACTCGGAACAGCTGGTGACGTGTTGGCAGCGATGGCCGTCGAAGTGGTCGCACCGATCTCTCCTGATGTCGGGGGGCTACCCTGCGTGGACGAAGTGGCCTGGAGGGGTTGCTGTTTTGCTGGCCCTTCCGGAGGAGGAACCGAAGGAGGCGCGCTCAGGGGTATCTGAGGTGCCTTCATCGGAGATGACAGTGATGTGACCGCCGGAGGTATATCGAAGGTAGCTCCGGCGGAGTTTCCCTGGCCATCCCTGGCTTTCGGGGGCTGACCAGGAGGGGTTTTCTCGCTCACACTCGTGTTCGTGAGGAGCGGATCCTGCAGACGCGACTCCACGTTAGGGCGAGATGGAGTCAGAGGTGGTGAGGTTTGTCCCGGGGTTGTACCGGCCAAAGAGAATTCCTCCTGGTGGTCGAGTTCCAGGAATTCGGCGACACTGCTCTCTGGACTCCAGATGGGAGTGACCTGGGGTACTTCTACGCCCGTGGAGGAATGTAGTAGGGATCTTTCTGATTCAAGTAAACCAGTTAGACGACCTGGATCTCCGTCCTCTGCTTCCAAACATGTCTCGACGGAGCTGCTTGAATCCGAAAAGGATGAGCTGGACCTCGGGGAGCTTGAAGAGCTAGACTGCAGGTCGGTGCCTCGTGGACTTAAGCGGGCCGACGGGGTGTCGGATGGGCTCAAACGTGAGGTCTGGAGCCGCCGAGGCAGTGGGGCCTCCGGACTGCACCACCGACTGTACGTCAAGGATAGCAACTTTCTCTCTTTCTTCTGCGGTGGGAGTCTCCAAAGATCCCAATGGAAGAGGGGGCATCTCATACCTCCAGTTCGTTAAACGCTGGAGTGGAGCGATGGAGCAGGCGGATAGAGCGTCAGCGGAACCTGGGTTCGGCCTCTCAATGCGCCTGATGTCAGCGAGCCAGGGGCCGATAGGATCCCAGAAACGTGGGAAGCGAAGGGGTGACCCGGGTTGTTCCCTTGAAGATGTTGGCCCTGGATTCGGGTGGATGAGTGTGGCCGTAGATGGCGGGGAAATAGCCCCCGTCTCTGGTAAGTAGCGTATGGGCAAGGAGGTAACCCCAGCGGGTCCGCCGCCTCATCTTCCGCGAACGAGTAGTCATCGAGGTCATCGACGGGGATACCCTCCTGATACAGGATATACTCCAGAACTAATTGGGCGTTCATCAACGTCGCTTGCTGACTGGTGGTGGGCACCGGCTCGTCTTTAGCCACCAAGCCTGGGGGTGGTGAAGGTGGTGGGCTCTCCGTGAAGTCCACGGGGAGGCATTCTTCCCCAGTAGTGGTGGTGACCTCCGGTGATGAACCCTGTAACAAGAGAGGGGACACGGAGAGCTTGTCCGGAAGATTGCCGCCCTTTCGGGGGAGGGATGAACGGTACTTCGTTATAGGGTCAAGGTATCGTTTGGCCACGACTGAGGTGGATTCCTTTCCTACCGTGAACGTATCACAGAGGGGAATTAATTCTCCAAATAACGCTGAAACTGAGCGGTAGCCCAGAACACAGCGAGATCCTTCCGCTCCGGCGCGGAATACTCCCTTTCAGCAGGGGACAACACTCTACAAGCGTAGATGATAACTCGTTCTCTCCTACCACTGACTTGTGTCAGAGCGACATTCAAACCTGCTGCATTGGCATTGGTTTGCATTGAGAACGGAAGCCCAAAATTGGGATGTGCTAACATACGTGCAGACGTTAGATGCGCCTTCAGCGAAGTGAATGCGATACTGTGTACCACGCTCCAAACCCATGGATAGTTTTCACCCGCCAGTTAGGTCAGGGGATCGGCTACCGTTGCAAAACGTGGAATGAACCTACGGAACCAGGAGGCTAGTCCGAGGAAACGCCTCAACTGTCTACGATTTCGCGGTTGCGGGAAATCAAGAACCAGAGTAGCGATAGCCGAGTCTATTTGTAGACCGGAACTACTTGAAATGAACCCAAAGTACTGTACTTGGGAAGTATCAGCCTCCTGTTGTGGAAAAGCCTGATCAAGGGGTCCCCATCGATTTGACCTACTCTCTGCGGCAGAGAATTGGAAGTCCTCTTCAACGGGAATCACCCGTCGGGGGGAATGACCCTACCGATCCTGCAGGGGTGGGATTTGCCTCGCGCTCGAGGAATCTCGCTCCCCAGATGTTGAGGGAAACTGCCCTGCATTAGGGGGATTTTGTCCCTGTGATTGAGGGACACCTCGCCCGTAAGTGGGAGGATAGGATGGCCATGCGGTGTAGGCGTATGCCCTTTGCGGCGGTGGATTGCCTTCTGTCGGGGCAAAAGGAAAATTAAGTAGCCCCGATGGTTGGGGATTTCCTCCTGCAAACGAATAATATCCTTGTTGCTGGGGATTTTGACCCGGCCATATTTGTGGCTGGAGAAGGAACTTAGGGTTGATCCCTAGATGGGCTGCTTGCGGAGTACACCCTTCGATTGGGATATTTCCCAGGCAAATGCGATTGTATACCAGAGTTATGTAGTCTTCCTCTGGTACGCCATCTTGGTTAACCAAGCTGGGATCTTCCGCACCAACGACTCGGATGGAGCCATGGCTGGACACCGATGAAACGGAAGCCGTGTCAGAAGTATCGACTTCTGACGCGAAATGGTCTCACTTCTAGTGGAGGCACATCGTGTTATCTTAACCTTAGGCTTCATGGTGGAGGTAGTGGTTCTCCTCGTATTCGGTGGAACAAGGGTACTCCCATCTTGGCCGTCAGTTTGGACGGATTGATCGATAGTGGCATCGACTCTGCTAGCAAACGTTCCGGAAGTACCATTTCTGGAGCCACCAGGTATGGGGATTTCCGTGCTGGGAGTACCAGTACCGGAAGTTTGCGAAGTCGCACCCCTGGAGGTGGATACGCCACCTTGAGGGATCTCACGTGTCGATGAAAGAGTGGGCTCTCTAGGAGTCCCATCCTCATTAAGAGGGAGATTAGGATCTGTAGGGGTTTTACCCCGTTTGTCACCCATGATTTGTCAAGCTGACGTGAAAGTCGGAGGCTCTCCGTTATAAATCTGGAGGAACCCTCACTTACTTTTCTCCAAAAAAATGAGGAAATTCACCCATGAGTTATTGAACTTCGGGATAATCCGACAATCGTAAATGAATCAGCCTCTGTGAATCGAATTCCAGGGAGGATCATTGAGACCCGATGGATTCCCAATCATGGGTCAGAACCACGTAAATCTCGAATAAGAAAAACGGGAGATTCGAGTTATTGTTACTTATCCTCAATACTTCGCGGTGCGACGTGATAATTCAAGCGTAATCCAAATTAATCCAAAAGGAATTCAAAATTAATCCAAGGAAAGAATCGCACCATCGGGATAATATTTCACACAAAAGAAGAAATAAAATTTTTATTCAACTCGACGCCTCGAATCCGAGCTGAACTGATCGTCGAGGCGGCCGGAAAAAAAGTTCCAGACGCGAGGCGCGAGACTCCTTATATACCGCTGGTCAGGGATGGGGAGTTCACCTTCCTCCTAACCGCGGACGAACTCTCCCGAGAGGGGAGGATCCCAAGATATTCACCCGTCGGGCGGGCAAAATTACGTAGAATAGGGATCACGTGATTGGTCACATGTCCCCACCTAGCAACAAGCGGCTATCGTTAACCAAAACTCTCAAAAATATTACCGCTTGGCTGTTACCAAGGGAACTCAAATAAAATTCCGAGACAAATAAAATTCCGAGACAAATAAAATTCCTTCTTATTTGTCTCGGATTAAACCTAATCGATGACATTATTGTGATGCCACGTAATCCTCAACCTCAACTATCTCTCTCACTCCCATGAAAATAAATCGGCCTAATATCAGGCGAAAATTGAAATTTCGAGACAAAAGAAACGTAACAATAGGACTCGAGAAAAATAAAATTTCAATGCGATGAGATCATCACGAGATCGAAAAATCAGAGAGAAATGGGAATTAAGTCGCAATTCCGAAACACAAAATTCCGACGGGATGAGATCCCGTGATTTCCATGATCACGGGATGGAAAAATGAGAGAAAAATGGGAATTAAGTCGCAATTTCGAAGCCTCAACTTGAGTGGGGTCAAATGAAACCCGGTACAACAAAATCCCAAAAATCCTCAAATTCGCAAAAGTTCAAAACACAAAAAAAAATTCTTAAAGAAACGCAAAAATTTTAACTAACCAAAAATTTTCTAAATTTTCGCACCCAATAACCTCGGAGCCCCACGTTCGGCGCCATTTGTTACGTGACATTTTCGCATGGGGGTTAAAAATGCCTATTATCTTCACCCTTCTTCCCTTTAATCTAGTTGAACTCAAAAATGCAAAAAACCTGTGGACGCCAGGTAATTTTTAGTCGGAATTACCAAACCGGAGGAATCTACAAAATCAATTCTAACTAATTTGGAAATCTCTAAAATGTACACACAAAGGGAGAAAACTAGATTTCTGGGGAAAGGTAACGGTCCTCGGTTTTCTCAGTGCACTAGCTTGTGGAGAGAGGGGTGGATTTCAGGTGGAAACGTATTAATGGGCGGTCAAAACTACAAAACAAAAATAAAGAAAGAGATCAACATTGTCCTTACGTGTTTCACTATTGATATTTTTCAAAATAAGGAATTTACATTTTCTTACATAATGATCTTACCAAGAAAAAAAAGAAAAAGAAAGAATTGCCATAATAATCATCATTCTTCTAACAAACGCAAAATAATAAATTGACTCGAAGTATTTGGTCCGGACAAGAATACATTATCTATTGAGTCGGCTACAAGCGGAGGTCATCAAATTCCCCAACGGTAATATAAAAATATTGGCTAATCTCGAAATACTTGACAATACCGAGAAATGAGGGGAAAGATATGCGAATCCCCGTGAGACCGAGAGAGAGAGAGAGGATATAAACCCAGCGGTATACGTACAGCGTACGGCGGGAAACTAAAAAGTCGACAAAACTAAACTCACCGTAGCGGAAATTCGGTAGAGTCAAATTTGAGAAACCTAGAGCCAAATTGATCGGGAAGGTCTGGAAGAGCCCATGAAACAAAAATTAGAATTTTGGGATCATTGGGAGCCACTCCGGATTGATTTATATCCGGAGGGAAATTTTAACGAGGGAACGCACACGGGAAGCGAGAGCCGCCACTTGTTGGCGCGTTAGCGGGGTGCCGTGAGGGGGAAGCATTCATTCGGAATGCTCCAGCCTCTCTACGCAATTTATACGTAGGGGGAGATATAGATATACCCCAAGTCGAAAATCCTCGAGCGGGAAGATTTCGACCGGGAAAATTTATGAGTTCCCTGAAAACCAAATACACTCGTTGGACCCGAAAATCCTCTCAAAAATATGACCGGGATAAACCGGAAGTCGCGAAGAGAACTCGGTACGGACCCGATTCGGGTGGAATAGCCGATCAAAAATCGGAGGGACACGCGGATAAAAATCCGGGATAAGGGATTGCGCCGAAAAATGCCCAATCAGGACCACTAAAACACGACTAAAGGGGTGATCAACCACTGCACGTGGCTGAGGGCCACGAGAGGGATACCGCCATAAAGGGGAGACGACGCCATTCGAAAATGGCTCGAAATTAGGGGAAAAATACCAGAAAACTCACTTTATCTTGACGCTTGGTGGTCCTCTTCCCCTTACGGACCATTTTGGATCCTCACAGCTCCTCGGAGAAAAACGATCATGCTTGTGGGCACAATTATGTTGTGATGGCACCCAAAAAATTCACACGCGACTAGCTGTTTGGGACGGTCAACGCGGAACTAACTGCCCTGGGTCAGTGTCACGGGCACTAACCGCAGCGCAAATTCCGGCCAACAGCGGCGGGCTCTGATTGGTGGAGATTTTGGCACATCAAGCGTGGGCTTCGATGGCGCCACTGAATGATTTCGAGGAATTCAAACGCGAAAGATACTCAACTCTAATATTATTCAAAGATGAAATGAAACCTCAAGATTACTAAACAGAATCGCGAGGCAAACGAAAAATAACTCCGCTTAAACGGGAAAACAAAACTCAATTATCCCAGGGATAATGGGAAAAATGACCACACCGGAGAGGGAAACAAAACCCTCATTCCTCTCTCTCTCTCTCTCTCTCTCTCTCTCTCTCTCTCTCTCTCTACTCACGATCCGTTTCTGAATGTCGCCGGAGGTGGATCTTCTCAGGTCCGGGTGGTGTCTCTAACGAACATCCCCACATGTTCGTTACAGTACAGTGCAATCTGGGAAAAAGTATTGGAGATGATTCCTCCTCTGAGAGAAAACGTCACCACAGTGACAGGGGACTTCGAAATGACCCAGATCAATAGTTTCAAGACAAATTTCCCTCAAGCGAGAATCTATGGTTGTTTGTTTCATTAAAAATATGTAAGTTGCGCAGACAGACTGACAAGGGCACAGAGATAGAAACAGAGACAATTTTTTGACCCGTGAATCTATATGTTTGGTCTTTATACCCCCCTCTTTCCTTTGACCCTTGGATCCATGTGTTTAGCCCTCATAAGCGCTTATTCACCCCTTGGACCCATGTGTTTGGCCTTCATAATTCCTCATTTGCCCCTTTGTCCCTATTTGACCCTCCGGGCCTTTGTGTTCGACCCTTTCAACCTCTTACTCAAGCCTTACATCTTTATGTTTGACACTCATACCCCTTATTCAACCCTTGACCCCTATTTGATCTTTTGATACGTTTGACTCTCATAACCCCTCATTTGATATTTGGTCTTTGGTAAAATTCAAATAGAATTAGAATTTAGAGAAAAAAAATCCACAGCCATGGCCACCATCGTACGTGGAGCATAGAGACAGAGACGCATAAACAGACACATAGGCAGACACAGACGAATACTCATAAACATTATCGCGATGATCGTTTGTCACATCTTCATAGGCAATTGCGAGGAAATGGGAGAGTCTTAGTATTGTTGGTTGCGAGTACATTCTAGAAAAAGCATACGCTTTGGCATTGCAGTGCCAAACGCACAGTGCCAAAATTTCCCAATACATGCGAAAATTTTCACTTGTATGCTGCCAAGCGTATTGGAGTGCATCAACCTATATGGAAAATGATGTGTAAGTATACAAATCATAAATCCTTCAATATATTATCTGATTATTATCTGGGCCATTTAACTGCAGACAAGATACCAAAAGGAGTTCAAATTATTACTGCACTCATTGACAGAGAGAGGCAGCCAAGGCTGCAGAATTTTGGCGCATATCTGCGAACTTTCTGGGTGCCATTACGCAATGTCATGTCCGTTTTCAGAAATCCAGTGCGTACAAACAATACATCCTTAAATTTTCACTTGTATGCTGCCAAGCGTATTGGAGTGCATCAACCTATGATGTGTAATGATTTTTCTTTGGCCTCAACAAATACTCAATAAACGCTAACCCACAAGTCTCGATTATCCAAACACGGCCAACTCATTACCTTCGTTCTCGCAATCCGACAAGTCTGAAATGCCAAAAACCTTAAGGGATCATTCTGGTTTAAAATTTTTCAAAAATCGATTTTTTTTTTCATTTTCGGAAAGGATACACATTCAAAAGTATTGTGTAAAATTTTTAGAATGTTTGGAGATGTCTAACTATGACTAACTCGGACATTTTCTTGACCGCGGGACGCAACTGACCTGCAGCCCTCTTACTACCTGTGCGCGCTCGGCCGACCCGTCTCTTGTCTAATCCGCTTTCTGTTTCCATTCATTCAAACAGCTGCTCAGTTCGGTTTTCGTTAGATTTTTGAGAAGCGGCATCAGTTTTCTCTCCGAGGTTGAACAAGCAACATCAGTACGCACACTATTTTTCATTATGGACCAAAAATCTACAAAATACGGAAAATCCCGTCCTGGTAGACCAGGTAAAAAACGCAAGTTTCAAGGAAACCAGCACAGTGATGAACGCGGAAGTCGTGAAACTTGGACCGACTTCCGTCAATTTTGCCGAAGACCGCGATAAAAAGCGCGTGAAA